AAAAAAAAAAAAAAAAAAAAAAAAAAGAAAAGGAAAAAATCTGAAGAAATTCGCTATCTGACGAGAAGTCATATTACAATCTTATTTTAATTATTTAGAAAATTTAAAAAAGAAAAACTTGACTTTTTTCTTTCTTCATTTTTCATTTAAATTTTATTTTTTTTTTTTGTCATTACTTAACAAACAGTAAAATTTGTGTAACAATTAAAACAGATGTTAGAAATTTATTTCGACAATATCTGAAGCAATCTTTAGTCCAAATTTCTACAGGTCACAATTTAGTATAACTAAAAGTTTGTTAGCAGTAATACAGTTTTGCTGGAAACTGTTATCACAGTTATGTTGGGCAAATTCAGTACCATAACAACAGATCGACTGTTTAGAATCAATCTGAAAAGCATTTTTTCATCTTCGACACATTTTCATACGTCAGTTATTTGTCATTTCTTATTGTTGTTATTATTGGTTTTCTGCATTAGTACCAGTATCAGCATCAGTTTCAGTATCATTATTGATATTTGCAGTATCTGTGCAACTTCGTTGTTCCCTAAAACCATTTTCTTCAAATTATTACAAGTAGCATTAAAAAAAGTCAATGAGACATATCTAAAGTAAAAATAGTACTGAATATTTGTTCGTAAAAGAAGGAAAACCTATAAATAATTAAACTTTTTAATCACCTGAAAAGCAGTTACATAATGTACTGTCTTTTCAACTTTATATACAGTAGTCAACTAGTAAATTTTGATAAGAGTAAATATATAATCACCACTATCACTTTTTCAATTGTTTTTTTGGCTAAATTTAGTCTTAGTTTTATACAATAACATCAAATAATTATCTGAAAGAAATTCTTGTTTTTAGCAAATTTTTGTGAATTTTCATTTTTTTTTTTTTATTACAGTTCTGCGTCATCTGGTATTACAAAAACATCGTCAAATTCTTTACGAGGTTCACGTAAATATTCACCGCATGGTATCAGCACACAGAGTCGTGAAATCATACAATTCTGCTTCGAAAACCCACACAGCGAAATTGGTAGTCGGGTATGCAATCGAATTATTGATAAACGAACAGATTTTAAACGGTAATTTGTTGGCTCAGTTCTTTTGTCCTTTATTATTTTAGCAATGATTGTTAAATGTTAATAACAGTCTTAAAACTGTTACAAATTTAACATTTTTTTCTTTTAATTTTAAAAAAAAATTTAATATATAATTTGAGTAAATTTCATCATTTTTACTACCTTTTTCTATTTGTTTTTGAATCGGTATAAAATAGATAAGAATATTGTCTATAATCCAAAAAAAAAAATTTGCTTCAACAACAATGACTGTTTGTTAGAAACTCCCAGACATAACTGATTATAAGAACTAAAAATTTGATCATATGCTCAAGTTTCATATGCTTCCTTGGTTTCACACTTAAGCAATACTTAACTCTTTTTTTTTTTTGTTTTTTGAGGGGAGGGTAAGAGAGTTATTTTTGAAGTAAAGTTCTGTTTTTTTTTTTATTTAACTTGTTGATCATCTGCCTAAATTTTTTTGTCTTTACTTTAAAACCTAACTATCGCAACAACTAAAACAACAACAACAAAAATTATAGTTTACAGTTTTTTTTTTTTTGTTTTTCAGTTTGACTTAGAAAACCAAAATATAGTATCAGCTTTGTTGCCGACCAAAAACAATTCAGTTTTACACATATTTATTTATTAAACAAAAAAATTTATTTGCTTATCTAATCTTTGAAGTTTCAAATAGCACATGACTTCTAAAAATACTTCAATTCATTTTTTTGTTAAACTGTTATTAAAATTTTGATAATTGAACCTATGTTACAAACCTAAAAAATGAGCAGTTATAACACAGAAGAAAAAGAAAGTTCATTTTATACTTTTAATAAATATTAGATTGATTCTTTTTCATGCTCTTTCTCCATCTGTTTAACAGTCTAAGTTCTAATAGATTAAGCAAGAAAAAAAAGAGACTGTCTGTATTGTAGAAATCAAATTCTAATAGAATCTGCGTAAATCAGATCTGTCTTCTTCCTGAATTTCTGTAAACTTAGTATGATAAGACAGCTATTCTTTTTTTTTTAGATAAAGTCTTTTGCTGTGTTGACAAATAGTAATTTAATATCTTACAAAAAATAAATCGTCATTTCGTCGTATTATTTTTCTTTTCAGGTTTTACCTGACACTTTCGATTTTGAATTCTTCTCACATACCGATGAAACACCGATACAGCAATCAAAAATTATTCTGTTTTTTTTTATCAAGAAATTTTTTTTTTTTTTAGTTCAATGTCTGAAAAAAAAAAAAGAAAAATGGCAGTTAGTTTTACCGACTCACAGTTTAAGTGATAAAATACATAAAAAATTGAAAAAACGTGGTTGAGTATTTCTCAGCAAAAAATGAAAACTTAGTCTATGGGAGAAGTGGAAATAGTTTAAATATTGCGCATCAGTTTAATCGCTTATTTTATGACATTTTTATCACCAAATATCTCTTTTACTGTTGTCACCGCTATTGGGCCACAGCCAATGCCAATACCAATGAGTTGTCTATAGAAATTCAACAAAAAAACCTTCTTAGAATTAAAAAACTATAAAAAAAAAAAGGAACAATTTTTTGCCGAAAATTTTTTGCTTGACAACCGATCCAAAAGTTTTGTTGTTTATTGCTGTTTCAGAACAACTAATAAATAAGAAAGAATAAAGGTTACAAAAATTTTTAACCAGTGGCTTAATCACTGAATTAAAAACAAAAGTTTCTTTGCTGTAAAATCTGCAGTTTATCAACCGGAAAAAAAATGCTGATCTTCAAAAAAAAGTAGAATCTTTTTTCATTTTTGTTCTTTTGCTGCATTTTCTTTTTTGTTTTGCCTTAAATTAACCATAAATTTCTAAATTTTTTGAGGATCTCCTGCTTCTCATCTGAAAACAGTGGCAGATGGCAAATATTAAACTGATTAAAAAGCATTAAAAAAATTTTTCTTTTTTGATTAAATGTTATTATTTTGCGGTAATAATACTAATAATGTCAGCAGCAAATGTTCCACAACTGTAGAAAATAGGTGCAAAAAAA